TTTAAAAAAAGTGAAGATATTTTATATAAGATAAAAAAAAAACTACAAATTTGTTTTTTACTATGGATTTCAAATTCCAATTTCCCATCATTTATTAATCAATTTATAATTTCCCCTAAATTTTATTAATAAAATTCTCTGCTTCTTAGACAAATCACCAATTAATATACATTTAATTTTCTGAAATAAGTAATTAAAATACCTTTAAAAATGCATTTACAGCTCTACTAGCAGACCGCTCACTAGATACTACCCATTCTGCTCGACCTTCTTTCCATGTAATAGTATATAAAACTTTATTTTTCAAAGTGTACTTTGTTTCACAACATAGCATCTGGTCTGCAACTTCCGTCTTTACGATATATCTATCAGAAATTTGATATTGAATAGAATTTTGATCACAACCACTTTTCTGTGTATACTTAACATTTTGTGGATAATGACCAAGTGCAATTATCTTATATTTTGAACGAAAAACCTTTCCTCCAGCAATATACTGAGCATATATATAAGGATTATTAGGATAATCTTGATAAAAAATTCTTATAGACTATATTTAAACATTTAATAATTAAGTTAATAAACGTGTATATTATTCATAAAGAAAGCAAATTTGCTTACCATAGAGTGATTAGAGCGTTACGAAGAGTTTTTTATGTATTTCTGATTTTTTTTTATCAAAAATTTTTGAAACTTGAACAGTAAAAATAAAAAAGTAACAGCTATTATAAAACTGCTTCTTCTAATATTTCTTGATTTCGCAATGAAACCTTTTCAAACAAATCTACAACTAATCTGAAACTTGCGATTTCAATAGTAAAAAAAAATTTTTTTTATTATTTGGAGCAGCAATTGGCTCTAAATTTGAGTTATTACAAGTTTTAGTGATACAAATCAGGTTATATCACAAAATATACATAGTGAAACGAGCACGATCAGCCTATATGTACAGTCAACTCTTGTTATAACGAACTCTATGTCCTAGACCTCAACTTCGCTATAAGGCTATAGTGAAGATTTTAAGAGATTTGATTGGGCAATTCGCTATAACAAGAGTATTTTTATTATATTTGTTCAAAAATTCATTATATTAAGAGTTCGCTATATCAAGAGTTGACTGTATAATAAAAATACTCTTGTTATAGTGAATTGGCCAATTAAATCTCTTAAAATCTTCACTATAGCCTTATAGCAAAGTTGAGTTTTAGGACATAGAGTTCATTATAACAAGAGTTGACTGTAGATAACATTATAGCTAAACTGAATAACACTTTTATAAGAGTGTTATCCAGTTGATAGTTTCAACTTGATTTTGAGATACATAACGTCCTTTTTTTCTAAGTATTTTGCTAATTTGTTTTTGGCACTTTATTTTATGTGATATTAGTTAAGAGGCCTATCATAAGTCTGATAGGTCTAATTTTCTCATTAACATGTGAAGATTTTGTCATAAAAGTAAAAGAGTTTTCTTATGATCAGATGAATGTAACAATTTAGGCTAGTATTAAATTATCATAATTTTGGCCTGAATTATAAAAATTTTGACCAATAATATCACTTTCACGTGATTTGATTTGTTTTAAATATGAGCCAATCATATAAAAATCAATCAAATTTAAATGCTTATAATTTTTTATGTAAATCTTTTTTCAAAAATCTAACTGGTAATTTGATAGTACACATCTTAAAGAATAAAATTACCAATTTATTTTTCTTTAAAATTTATTTTTAAATTTTTAAAAAATTTTTAAATATTACAATTTTATTGTTGAGTATAGTTTACTTGTACCATATATAATTAAAATGTACTTTTATTTGTAAAAATAACTCAATTCTAATCAAATTTCTTATAATTTTTTATTTATTGCAATCTTTTCTTTTGATAGTCTTTTTTAAGCAAAGGTTTAGAAATTTCATTACTAAACTTTTCTTCAGATTTATTAAGACATCACCTTACTATTTTTATACTAAGCTCAACATCTCTTTCTTTTATTTTTTCTTATATTTGAATGGCTTTTATATTATGTTCTTTCTTTATTATCTTTATAATCTTATCATTTTGTTTTGCGATTATTATATAAGGCTATTCTAATCTTTCTAAAATACTTAGATTCTAATTTTGATGATATCTTTTAATCTAATAAATAGCTGTAGACTTATTACAGCATACTTGTTAATAATGAATCTAAAATTAAACTTTAGACCAGATGGATACTTACATAAAAAGACAAATTCATAATATTTTTTTAAAGAAAGTTTCATTTTTCAAGCAAAAGTTTGATGATTATCTAAATTTTTTTTTATATCATTAACACTTATAAATTTATAGGTGATCATATATTGTATTATATTATATTCCTGAAAATTTAAGAGGTAGTTATATAATAATTTTAAATGATCTCAGACGGTCAGATACTTATGATTATTACTATATATTGAAGATTAATAAAGCTTATTAAAGATTTAAAATTAATTTAAAATTATGATAAATAACAATTTTTTTAAAATTACTATTTTTTAAATTATTTAACAAGTAAATTTGTTTGCAAATTTAAAAAAAAGTATTAATTTTTTTAATAAAATATAAAAGTAATTTCAATTTATATATAAATATATTCTATACAAATTATATGGTATAACTAACATTAATATTATTTTTGCTAATATTAAGAAATTAAGAAAATTAGTCATGTGAAAGATAGGATATAATAAATAATAATTTTTACTGAAAAATTTTAAGTTTCTAAAATAAATAATAAAAACTAAAGATAAAAGGTATAATATTAGTGACAAATATATCTGTCACATGTTTTAGGTACATATATCCTTATATAATATTATGTTAAGACATATTTCAGGTATGTTTAAAACAATTGAAATATAATATGAAACAATTTGAGATATAGTGTAAGACAGTTTTAAAATGCTTAAAACATAAAAAACGAATAATATTATTTTTATATAAACTTAAATATAAATATTAATTTTGATAATATAATATTTATGAAAAAAATTTATTTTAAAATTTATTTTATAAATTTATTAAAGTTTTAAAATAATTTAATTTTAATTAAGTTTAAAATTTTATATGTTTATAAACTAATAAAATTTTTTTAATAAATTATAAAAATTATAATAATTAAAGTTATTTTTATGATAAATTTTATAATATCATATTATGAATAATATTATTAAAATTAAATAATTACAAATTTTTTTAATTTTTTATAATTTTAGATTGTATTAGAGAAAGGCCAGAAATCACATGATTAGAAAAAGGGAGGGAATATGTTTATTGATCATCTTCTATATATAGTAATTTTATATATTATTTAATTATTCAAATAAAATTTTATAAAATTTTATTTATTTATTATAAAATTATATTATTCAAAATCAGATAACACATTTTGAAAATCTAAAACAATTTCTTCAAAAGGAACATGATTTGAAATATCTTCATAAGTATGTGAATTTTGAATATATTTTGTATTAAGTCTGCGATATTGTGTATGAATTGCTTTTTGTATTCAGTTATAAAAGATAAGTTGGAAAATATTTACCATATAAATTGCAACATAATCGTTAATACAACTCAGAAGATATAGAAAGACAATGCTGATCATATTTAGGAATTTTTAATATATTAAAATATTCAAGAATATGAATTGGATTCAAAAAATGATTATCCTGACCTTTAGAAATAGATGAAAGAAAACTATTATTTTGTTCTAATAATATGGCTGCTGCTTCATAACATTTTGGTTTACAACATTGTAAATTATTACATTTACGAATATCAAGAGAATAATGATAAATTTGAGTATGAGTTTCTATTCAAAGCCATGAAATTAATGTTTCTGTTGTAATATCTTCTGAAATATATTCAGTATATACAGGATGACCATTAATATTATTTTTTTTCCATAACTCACATAAAATTTCTCCAGAATAAGCAAAATTCTAAAATGCTAAATTATTATCAATTATTTTTCTATTTCGTAAATAATTACCATATTTATCGTAAGAAAGTGTAATTTTAGCAAGTTTTCTAGATAAAGAAGCCATACTTCATTCTACAGGATTATATGCTGATTGTTCTGATGCATTTGTACGAATTGTCATATAATCTAAATTTGCATCACAAAAATATTTACAATATTATTTTATATTTTTTAAATGACGTAGATTTTCATCAGGTCCTCCATCTACTAAAAGAACTAAAATTAGACGATGCATTTTATTATTATCTAAAAAAGATGATTGAAAACTTTGAAGTTGTTGAATTTTTTGTAAATCAAATATATGACTTGAAGCTGATGTTGATATCCATAATTCTGATCTTACAAAAACTGCTAATTTTCCTGATCTTATTGATTCATTTGTATCAGTTTGATCAATTACAAAATATACCGAAGGAATTAATTTGTGTTTTAAAGATACTGAAAAATCATGATCAGAAATAGATACTAGTTAATTTTGTGATTGAACTGTTGAAAAAGTATGACCTACTGCTGGAATTCCTAAAGGTACTTTAGCTTTATCATCTTGTGATATAATAATTGAATATTCAGAGAAAGCTTCTGCAAATTGTCTTGCACTTTTTACAGATGCTAAACAATAATGATTATCTTCATGCAGATTCATTTCATTTTTAAATACTGCAACATTTCTAATAAGAGCTAGATGATAATATCATTTTGCTTAAATAGAATTTGGGTGACATGGTAAAAGATATGTTTGAAGACTAGACTTTGACATATATTGATTGTAATTTTCTTTCATAACTGTACAAAGATGTGAAATTGTACGAACTTTAATCCATTCTTTTCTTTATCGATTATTAGCTGAACTAAACTCTATACATGTATGCAACTAATCATATAGTTCCAGATTTTTAAGAATATATGAAGTCTACCAGGTGAGTTATATTTTTCCACAATATTTTCTTTTAATAATTGTTACTTTTGTTCCCGAAGTCTTCCTTGTGCTGTTGCATGACATTTTAAGTTATTAAGTCATTTACTTTGCTGTGTAATTACTTGTTTTTCTATTTCCATTTTATGTATAAGTTGTTGTTGCATAGAATTTTCTGTTGTAATATCATGCATAGTAGTATATTCTACTAATTTTTTTTGAGCACGTTTTCTTTCATAATTAGCATTTTACTGTGCTATTGCATTTGGCAGCGTTTGATTTTCCTCAGAGTGAATTATTATAGGTTTTTGTTTAACTTGGTGAACTGGTCTAGAATTCTCAGAATTCAAAATTTGAAATCCATATTTTGTTAATGGAATCGAAGTAGCTAGATAACTTGTAATAATATTCTTAATTTCATTTGTATTCTTCGATTTTATTTTGGGTCACATAGTATTTGCTTGCTCTAATAGTTGTTATTTTAGTGATGTTGGATTCAAAAGTTCAATCATTTTATGATATGCCCATGCATTACAAAACTCATGATATATATGTGTTGGATTTTTGTAAAAATATTTTTTCTCAAACTTCAGACTTATTAAAAAAGGTATTTTTTTTTTTTAGTATCTATAAACATCTGGAACAAAAAAAAAAACTAACAAGGAAAATATTTACGAAGTTGCTTTATGGCACAGAATTTTTTTAAA